ACCTGCGGCACCACATCGTCTGAAGTTTCTAATTTTCCAATATCCCTAGCATGAAGGCAATTATCCAACAAAGCAGATAGATAATAATATGTAAATACTTACATTGAAATGGTCTTCACATACTCTGCTCTGCTGCTATGTGAAATACCATTTTTATTCGTTCTGCATGCGTTTAACCATTTTTTCTGACGATTACGATCATCTTCCGGCAATCTTATAAATATTTTATTGGGTGATTTAATGGAAGTATTTTTGCACAAAGGCACAATGCAATATTTGTAATATTTTTTGTGTTCCATTGCCTTTGAAGTTCAAAGTCCTTGTTAGATTTATAACTCCAACAACACACAAGCAAAGCTGAATCATGGTTAAACACAAATCTCTAAACTATACAATTTAATAATACCATCTATTAAAAACAAGCCTCATCATATTTTACACAAAAGCGTTTCGCTGCGTAAATAAGTAGATTTGAACGGCTGTCTCAGCCTGCGTCGTATGCGTGCTCCCGGATTGATACAGTATGACGTCATGAGATTTCGCGCCTTTGAACGCTTGTTTGAATTGGTTTTTCAACGCAAGAAACTTTTTATGATTTTTATAAACTGACTATTGATATTTCACAGCTCATATTTTGCAGTAGTTAATTTACGATGTAAAAAAATCTGCAAGTTCCCATATATCGTGTTGAAGTCAAGGCTTCGCTTGATAAACATTATTCGGACTTTGCAACATGAAAATCAACTGTTGAACAGGGGTTTGCTGAGTTTGAACGAGGTTATGCACACAGTGGACGTCCCACAGAGGCGAAAACATCAAAAAAGTCCAAAGAAACGTATTAGGCATATCGTGCATGAATATTTGGGTTTGGGAAAGCCCTGTTCAAAGTGGGTGCCACGCGAGCTCACAATCGACCAAAAACCACAAAGAATTGATTATTTTGAGCAGTGCTTGAAGCTGTTCCACCAAAAAAACCAAATTTATGCGTCGGTATGTGACAATGGCTGAAATATGGCTTCATCATTTCACACCAGAATGAAATCTGAGTGGACTGCATGCGGTGAACCGGCTCTAAAGCGTGCAAAGACGCAATAGTCACCTGGCAATGTTATGATATTTTGGGATGCGCATTGTATAATATCCATCGACTATCTTGAAAAGGAAAAAAACATCAGCAGCGACTATTACATAGCGTTATTGAAGCGGTTCAAACAAAAAATCGTGGAANAGATACTATTGGAATTATGAAATCCGTTAGAAATTTTATTAAGTCCTTGGCAAAACGAACCAAGTGCTTGAAAGAGAATATTGAAAAAATCTTTCCCGAAACACAATGGAAAAACCTTACAACAATGTGCGTACAAACTTTCAAAGATCTTGGCGACACTACCTGTTTCCACATATACCCCTGAAAGGGCATTCTTTTGTCTGAAACGCCTCAAAACTTATTTAAGAAACTCCACAAGCCAGGAACGACTAAACGGTTTGGCGTTGATGTCAATCAACCGTAGAATTGACATCGATATCGAGGAGGTAATTGATTTGTTTTTATGCAAAGAAAGCTAGAAAACTAAATTTGATTTTGTAAAAAGATGTTAATATTTCTGTAATGTTTTTCTGATAAATATATGATCATGTAACACAATTTTCTTTCTTACGTTATTTTTATATTTCATGGTTTTCTACTGTTCCACTGTTCACTGTTCCCCCACCCGAAATTGTTTTCTAGCAACGGTCTTGTGCAGAATAGCCACCTACTATTATTGTTTGCTTCTTAGACCCACTTTAATCGCAATGACGCCATCTATGGGATCGAAAGAGAACTCAATTCTCAAATATCAAAGATAAACGACGTTCCTCAAGGCGGTCAGTTGCAAAGCCTAGTTTCGATATCGACCGCCGATGAGATTGGTTCTTTCTCTTTCACTGCTACTTTCACTGCGAGACAACTAGTTGTTAACTAGAGCCCAAACACAACGCATTTGCGATTCAACAAACGACAGTGCTGTTCCGAGACCCGCTATCGGTCACACCAGTGGTGCTAAGCTGAACCACAAATGCACCACTGCTGAGACCTATGCCGGGTCAAAACAGCACTGTCTGTTGTTGAAATATGAATGCATTGTGTTGGGTAAATCACCGAATTCTGCTGGACAAACTTGATTATAACGATTTCAAGAAGAAGAAGAAGAAGAATAACTTTATTTCCAGATAGGCAAGGCTAATATCAACATAATTAATGTACTTTATCTAAACATAATACATAAATATCAAAATAAATTAGTCTATTATAACCAAATAACAGAAAATCACAAAAAAGGAGAAAAAAACTATATCGCACATATTCAATATAGGATACACGTTTACATATTTACTTATATATTCAATCAAAACAAAGTCTTAGTTATTATTATATTTTAAATATAAATTAGCTTTAATTCAGTTTTTCGTTATGAATGTTACCAAGTCCCTCTTGAATAGACGGAGAGAAGAAGAGTTTTTTT